AACAAGGAATATAGAAAGAGCTGAGAACTTAACAGGAAAATGACATAGGAAACATTCATTCATAAAAAATGAAGGAAATTATTGTAGAAAAACAGGATCATTTAAAAACCCAAGTCATATTAAATGATTTTCCCTTTAGAAGGAAATTCTCATCTGAGACTTATTCAGTCTGAAATATAAGGAAATCATAGACTGGAATATTTTGATTACGTTAAAGCACCCGGGTGCTATCTCTCAGTAGGAATTGATCTTCTTAGAGAGAGACAGCTCTCGCAACTTATTCTATATTTTTTTTAATCAAATAAGTGCAATGAAAACGGCATGTTTTCATTCGAATTCATTTAATACGGCCAGTTAAAATAATTTCGTATAATGCTGTTGAATATATTGCACTATCTGAAACAATGATTTCAACAGGAAAATAGCAGAAATGCAGTTAATTAATTTTGTTTATTTAGTATTAGAATGAAAATGCTCGACATAAAATCCCAGTTTTTGTTTTCATGCTATTTTGGTTCATGAAAAATGTTCAGAAAATTCTCATCATAATACTTTCGTACCATTAATATATATATATTTCAAATTAATATAAACTTAAGTTTATATTCTTGTTCTTATAGTTTATATTCTTCTTCTCATTTGTTTCTGCAGAAATATGTGCTGCAAAAGTAACATAGTTATAAAATTAGGTAAATAAATGTGCATTCTATGTTAAGGAGAAATATTTGCTTCGCTCTGAAGAGTAAAACTGCATTGCTTTCTTGGAAAGTATTATTAATCAAAATAGCTATTGTTCTTAATTTTTCAATAAAACTCTTGAAATTGATTTTCTGTTCTGTTACAGGAACTCAATTATGGAAAATGAGCCCAAGCCAATCTTCTGCATATTGCCCTGGGTTTCGTTCATCTGTTTAGCTGCAGCTTTAAACAGTTTAGGTAAGAAAAACTCTGTCTTCTGTGGCGAGCGGCGAAACTGCCGTTTAGCATGAAATCTTTTGTTTCTCTCGTTTCGTGTGGCGACGCGAGTCCGCCAATCCCAAGTCTTGATTTTAGTCACGTTAGTTTGATCATGTGACTCACGTCGCGTAATTTCGGAATGGGTGTCTGTCCATAATAGCGCTGCCAAGTGAGGCAAATTTATTGGTTTCACTTTCGTTATTTTTTAGCGCAAAATTGCGCTACGCAAGTTTCTTAATAGCAAGCTGAGAATATTTGCGTAACATTGATTTCAGATTAGTTATTCCTGTAAAGTGTAATAAGAGTTTAGCAGAATACGAATTTAACATAATAGTTAAATTTTATACTACTATACTCTTATTAGGGTAAATTAAAGACTGATTAACCCAATCACTATTTCTTTATACATTATAAGATTTGCTGCCTTCCTATAGAACAAAAGTCCGTGGATATATGAGTAAAAATTCTAGAGAAGTCTTTTCTTAAGTAAAAATTGACAAAATTATGCCACTAAAGAAAATCAAAAAAGGTATTCGTTTATGCTTTTAGTTTTCAGATCACTGATTACTGTCACGGTATTTAATGAGACGTAATGTGCTGCGAGTATCAGTGACGATATCGCACGTAGATCTAATAAACTGAGTTCAAAACTTTAAAATAAATCTTGATCCTCTCTTCTTTATTCTGTGAGAATCCTTTCATGTTCTGTGGGAATCTTTTCATTTCATTTCATGTTCAAAACTGTATTCATGTTTTATCTTCTTCGCATTTTTTAAATTTTATATCCATATTGCTAGCAGGCCTATATACCATACTGATAGAAAAGGAACCGTGAAAGGCCAACCAGAGTTTTAAAACACCCCTGAATTAGATCTGATCTCCATTTCCTTTAAAATAATTCGTTCTAGACCTCAAATGTCTCTCAAAATAAAACAAAGTGTCAAATCTAGCTTGTAAGAGTGATGAGGGACAGCAGCGAAGCTCTTTTTGGGGCCTAAACAAAAGCTTTGCCTTAACGTTAGCTTGGTTCGTTGTCGTGATGAGTGAACCAATTCTCTTTCCTCCACTGTTTTAGAAGACGGCAAAAATCTACTCTCAACTTCCTCAAACCCCCATATTACATATAGAAAAATATTAATAGCTTATGGCTGTCACCGAACTCTTGCTTCTTCTTAGTCTCTCTAGTCCTTCAAAATTTGAGTTCCTTCATTCTGAAGCCTGTTGTTTGTTATGGGTCAAAATTTTGTTCCTTGTGTCATGTCTCTACAAAGTAGCTTAAATTCAATGTTATGCAGAAAGTTATTTTTTCTCAGCCAAATCTATTTATCAGGTTCATTATATTTTGAAGACATAAGGACAGCCCATTTTCCAGAATTTGAGCCCACATCAAACTACCAGCATTCACCTTTTTTTGCCGCTCGGCCATTAAATGCGCCGAAGCCAAAAAAGGCTCATTAGTATTTACAGCAACATCCTAATGCTTCTCCTGTGGATTGTTTCATCAAAAACTGACATGATCGTGCAATAGCTGATAGAATTATATATCGACTATCACGCACAAAAAAAGAATTACCATATTTAAAAAAATATTGTCTCAAAATGTATGTAAGAAATTTCACAGTTTGTATGCTTTTGATTACGTTTGTCCATTACACTCACTGAAAAACATGGGTTACTTAATTGGACCACGCTTCATTTTTGCCAAATTTTGTGTTCAAATTTCATGAAATATTTTGGCATGAAATAAAATCTTCTATAGATTAAAATTTAATTGAAGGTTAAAAAAAAGTCAAGCAATAAAAGAGTTTGTTAAATTGCTAATAGTACTTGTGGACTTATTTTTAGAATTTCAAAGAAACCATTTTAGAAAACCTTGTCCAAAGAATTTAATTAATAACTTATTTATTTAAAACTTAGTCTCAGTTTTTATTGACGATCGTATTCTCCTCGGATAACCGAGTTTGTTTGGTTATCTGAGGTGGTTAAGGTCCAAGTTACTGCGGATTATCGAGGTTCTACTGTACTTTGACATAAAACACGTCTTACCTACTGTCATTAAAATCGTTTTAGTGGAAATGTGTTATAGGATTCATATTTCATTTTTGTGAAAAAAATAGCGAGGTATTTAAATTAATGTAATAGAATATGATACGAACTTATTGCTTATGATATTGTTTGCTAAACATTTTCTCTTCAAAAGTCTGGCCGGTTGCCATTGCCTCCATAGAAATATATATAAAAGTGATTTTTATCTGGATGTTGAAAAACTGATGCCATCGCAGATTACTGCAAAGTTTGAAAATTCACATTTCCTTTGACTTCAAGCATTAGAAATCATGTACCATCATTAAATAAGAGTAACAGCAGCAGCCAGATGCAAACTGCACAGTTGCTAAAATGGCGACTTTGATAATGACGTAATTGGAGTCTCTACTCAGAGAAATAAGAGTCAGTCTACTCAGAGAATAAGGGCATTTTCTGAGTCAAAGGCGAGGGTATTTCAATAAATTTAATATCTAACATTGAGTCAGCTTTGTGGGATAACGAAATAAATATACTACGTTTAACGACTTAGACGAAAAACTTCGGCAGTATCAGATTCGTGTGAAGGTACCATAATGAAAGGATAGCAAAATTCTGGGAATCATTTTTATCTAAAACTTGAGGCATTATAGAAGTATTTTAGGAAGATATTCTTTTACTTCTGCACATTAAAAATATTTAAGAATCAAATATATATTTGTGCTCCTTTCGCAATTCATTTAAACGCAAAACTTCAGGTATGTCGATGATTTCAGGAAATCGATGATTTCGTACCCAATACCTCGAAAGACAAAGGCGTTAAAACCAAACGTTATCCCAAAAGTTAGATTTTTCTGACTACTGGACATTTTATTTTTTCGAACAATTTCATGATGCTGTATTCGTGGAGTTTCTTTCATGCTTCTTCTAGCCCTTTCATCTCAGCTGAAATATTACTCTGCGCTCCTTTCTGTATGATTTGCGATAGAACCTGATGTCCGTCTGAGCAGAAATTACAGCCTCCTTTTTCCCTTCTGGTGGCAGACGGTGCAAAGTACACCCTCTGCGTTTTGAAAAAGAGAAAACAAAAATGGAACGAGTGCTTTTGGTCAGATATGTTTTCCTGCCCAAAACAGTGATATGGAAGTTACTGAATTTTTATTATTTTTTGTTAAACCTGAATTCTTGAGGTAAAACTGCAAGAGAACACCAGATTTTCTCCAGAATCAAAGCAACAAACTTTGTGCATTGCATCATTTTAATTTGAAATGCTAAAAAGTGTTAAGTGAATAACGAACATAAATCCAATAAGGGATTTCTACGAAAATGTCAACTTGCAGTTAAACCTTGTTGCTGAATCAAATCATGCTAACCACGAAAGAAAATATTGCTACATTATCTTCCTTAACAAAAATATGACACGCTCATGCAATAATTTACTTGAACTTGCATAAGAAAAAGAGAAAGATTTCCTACGACTGGAAAAACAAAATGTTCTTTTCGTTTCGAGTAGTCTCACTTTTATAACAGATCCCACAATATTTATCTCTATTTAAGTAAAGGTATGTCTCCATAATGAAGGGAATCAAAAAGAGAGATAACTACATTGGGATTTCAATTCATTCTAAAACTCTTGCCTAAAAGATGGCGCAAGTTCCTTTTTCGAGCTTGAGATTTTATTTTTCTTTAAAAGGGCAGTGAGAAATTAAGCTTAGGAGAGAAAAAAGATTAAAATATTTTTCTATTCGCATATAAGTTTTAATTTAGCCGCCTGGATGACGTTACTTAAATATGGAGCCAGGATGATAGCAAAGTTTTATCATCTTCCCTTAACATATCCTATTAGCTACGAGCTTCTATTAATTTAGATATAGCAAACATAAAGTAGCTTCTTAATCATCTATAGAGACAAACGTATTAGGGAAATGTTCTCCGGAAACAGCAGAATACTAGAACTTCTAAACACAGAAACAAGACCGCATATTATCTACATGATTCAATTCAACATCTAATTCAATTTAAAAATGAACCACTCAAACTGTAAACTGCACATATGCATATTTCGTATCATATCCACATGGTATATCTCATTTAAACAGTCCTTCTTTCAAACTGAAAATCTGCTGTAAAGCTACACGACCAACAGACTAAAAATAATTTAAACTTAGGTTAAAATGATGAAAGAAACATTTAAGTAAAAAATTAATCTAAGAATAAAGTATTTTCAAATTACCACTATTTGTATGCGCTAAAACACAGAACTCAATGCTTTCAGTAACCCTATCATTTGCCACACGTCACAAGAATACTGTGAATACGGAAAACTATTAAGAATAGCATATTTTTAACAATTCTTAAGAGAAAAGTAATATTTCAGTGCTTCTGCTGGTAACTGAAAATTTTACATTTGCGCAAACAGTCTTTTACTCGAAGAGTAGTCATGACATAAAAAAGTATAAAATTTAAGGTACAAACCTAAACACGATAAAGGTTTAAAAACAATCTTACATTTCACCACCTAAATCTAGACACATAGAAATGTCTTTTATAATTTTAAAAGTGATGAAAATAATCTTTGCTTTTTGAGAGTGATCATCATAAGAAAGAGAGAAATTTTTCAAGAATTAAAGTAAAAAAAAAGATATTATTTCAAAAATTAAAAGCCCACCAGCTGCACAGCGGTAAAATCGCTGAACACTGGTAGTTCGTCATAGGTTCGATTCCAGGCGAACAAGCTGGCTGCATACGCTTTTTCGTGGATTTCCCCATGTGTAACGTATTTCCCTTAGAAAGTCCTCCACAGAGAGGTCCCTCTCCTTGGGCAGGTAGCCCTAGTGTACTTTGTCATAATCAACTAAATCAAACCAACAATAAAGTAAATTATTTAATGACAGTAATTAAAACAACTCAGCTTGGAAAATAATACTTCAGTGCAGTAGTCGATCTGATCTCTTTTT